GGGCCTGTCAGAACGGGCTCGATAGCAGCCAGTCTGGTCTGGGCTTACTGCTTTTTCCATACATACCATACCCCCGCCCCCTGAGTTCGGTTAATAGCCATCAATCAACATTCAATACTCATTTGAATCACTTGGAAACTTTTAAATAGCCTGGATGCCTGGGACCCAGCTCCAGAAAATCTAGTTTAATTGAGGTGATTTTATAGATCTTTGTGTAACTTTAATGTACAGCTAGGATTGAGAATCCCTGGTACAGGGAAGTTTCTTAGAATCCACTGGACTCTACGGAATTCTTGCAGGCCTGATATCTTACTGATATCTTAGGCAGATCCCCCCCAACAATTTTATTAGGAGCTAATCCAGCCATCATACCATTCCATAGTTCAGTCATATCAAGCAGTATTGTAAAATTGCCCTCAAAATCAGTATCAAAACTTTTCTTCCTGCTTGAACTCCTTGATATCTCTGTACAGACTTTAATATGCTTGTGTGCTCGTGAAATTTTCTGTAGAGGAAACCTGAAGAATTGATTTGATTTTAAAAAGAGTATATGACACCACCACCCCCCAAGTTAAATAAAATCATCAGCGCATGGAGAGGAGAACAAAAAGCTTAGAGCCCAAGGACTGGGTGTCCTTGGAAGTGCAGGGGAGAAAGAGACCAACAATGGGGTCGGGAAAGCAGCTAGCCAAGATAGGAAGATACCGCAAGGCCAGCCAGCACTGGCTTTTTGAGCGACTTTATTAATCTTTTCCCCATCTGTGTTCTGCGATGTCTTGATAATAGTATAATTTGTCCATGGTTGGGACTACTTACACCACCGAAACAGGCGAAAGGACTCGTTCCCCCACCTGCCAGCACACACAGCAATCAAGCAGACCAGGTGTATGGGGGTGAGAGGATGTGGGAGAGTGCCAAGTGCCACAGGGATCCAGTCGTAATGAGACCGCAGGGCTACAGGGTTATCAGATTAGCCACCTGACCCTTCCAAGTCCGGTCGATTCTGTCTGGCTATAACTGCCTGACCTCCTTGTTGAAAAAAATAAATTATTATGTGCCCTCCCTACTGCCAGTATCCATGAAAACATCTAGCAGCATCATTGCTTCCTGAAGGGAAGCATCGGGAGACTCAGATTGGGAGCAGATGGAAGAGGATCAGGAGCCATGCAGACAGGTGTGATGTGCTTACAGTCCTGCCACTCACAACCGACAGAACTAGAGCTGGAACCCGGGTCTCCGACTCTGTCCTCCCCCATGACACCTTTTTAATGACTTGGAATCAGGGATTTTTAAAAGCCATGAAATAGAAAGAGACGGTAAAAGCCAGAACCTGTGTAAGGCAGAAACTGTCAGAGAAGGAGCACACAAACGGAATGAGTGCGATAAAGTAGGAAGGCTGTGTCCTCTGAGAGCCCCGGTTCCACCGGGCGCTCCCGCCAAGTCCCTGCTATGCAGTATCTGGGAGTGTTGTGATCAGAACGGTACTTCGGAAAACTTGTCAGCATGGAGAACACGGGACAACTTGGACAGGGGAAAAGAGTAGACGCCGGGAAGCTGTACAGGATGCTGCCGTTGACCAAATGGGAAGAGTCCTTGGAGGAAAACTTGGAAGTTTGGTTAAGCATAGAAAAGGGGTTTCATGAGACAGAGAAACGGTATCTAATATTCTCGTAAGAGACCAAAGTGAAGTGAACCTAGGAGAGAGCTTTGAAGTGGCTTGGGTCACTATAAGGGCAAGAGGGTCCTTGTGGAGTGATTTCATTTTAATGACATGATCATGTAGCGCGTCAGAAAATTAGCTAGCTCCTTCTTCAGCCTGGCTCTGTAGAGTTGGCTCTTGAGCATCCTCACCTGACCTTTGCAATGCATGAGACCTGCATACATTCTCTTTCTATTCCCTCATCCTCTAACCAGCGGTAGGCATCACACTTCTTGATTCCAAACCCAAGCCTACTGCCACGGAGCCGATTATGATGCATGGTGACTCCACATAGGTTTTCTGCAGATAGACATCTTTATGGTCACAGTGAGCTTCCTCTTCATTTCATGGAGCTACTGGTGGGTATGAACTGCCGACCTCATGGTCCCTCACTTACCAGGGCTCCTACTTTCCACGATTACCAAAAAATCAAATCACTGCCATCGAGTTGTTCCTGACTCATAGTGATGCTATAGGACCAGATAGAACTGCCTTTGCAGGTTTCTGAGACTGGAACTCTTTGTGGGAGTAAAAAGCCCCCTTTCCTCCCTCGGAGTGGCTGGTGATTTCGAACTGCTGACCTTTGGATTAGCAGCCCAACATTACGTAACTAAGATGTGACCAGGGCTCCTTCCTTCCATGGTTAGTATGATTTAAATCAGCCGTGGAAGAGACCACATCTGGATTCTTATCCAGAGCAAAACATAACTTGGGTGGTGGACCACATGTGATGTCAGCTCCTATTCTGGCCGCCACTGCTGTGCTCCTTCCCTGTTACAGAGACAGGCTGCGCAGGGAGCAAGACTTCGTGTCTTGAGAAACAACCTGGCAGGGAGACAAACTGCTTTTTTTTAAGACGAGAGCTATTGACATGTTAGCCTAATTACAAGGACATGTGCTTAGTAAAGAAAGAGTAAAGAAAATACTGGGAAAAGGGAACAGGGTTACCTAGTAGAGGCTTTCTTTTTCTTGCCGGTTGCTAAACAGACAAATCTAACACACACCAATTCGTCTGCAGGTGCTTTTCAATGGGAAGAATTGGAAGAAGATATCAGAAAGAAGTTGAAAGATTGTGGAGATGTTTCAGATGTAATTGAGAAAGTTAAATGTATTTTAAAAACACCGGGCAAGGTAAATTTTGTTATTATATTTTAGTGTAGCTTGGCTTTCTCTGAATTATAACTGATAAGCTCGGAATAACACAATATTGAGTGGTGTAAACATTTTCTTTAATGTGTTTTTGCCATTTAAATATGTTAGCAGTAAGATATTGAATTTTTCACTATCTTAGATTTTAATTATATAAGAATTAAAATCATCATGACTTATATCAGCAGTTCTCAACCTGTGGGTCATGGCCCCATTGAGGGTTGAACGATCCTTTCACAGGGTTCACCTGATTCATAAAAGTAGCAAAATCACAATTATGAAGTAGCAACAAAAACAATTTTATAATTGGGGGGTCACCACAACATGAGATACTACATTTAAAGGATTGCCGCGTTAGGAATGTTGAGAACCATTGGCTTTAAAGTGTTTATTTGTGGGTTCCGTCCTCTGGAACATCTCTTGTTGCTCCAAGAACATACAGTCTATACAAAAACCCAGCAACAAGACAAAACTCACTGTCATTGAGTCAATTTAGGGGAGCAGATAGCTTCGTCGGTCTCCCCCTGAGCAGCTGGTATACGTGAACCTCAGACTCTGTGGTTGGCAGTTCTGTGCTTGCCCAGCAAGAACAGAACTAAACCAAACTCACTGCCCTGGCCCCATGCCAACTCGTGGCGACCCTGCGGGACAGAGTAGAACGACCCCTGTGGGTTTCCCAGACTATAACTGCTTATCTAGGAGTTAAAGGCTTCGCCTTCTCCCACGGAGCGAGGAGGGCTCTGAGCTGTTGACCTTGCCATTAGCAGGCCCCACATGCTCCTCTGGCCAAGACCAAGGTGCTGTTTGCTTTGTAGAATTGGAGTTCACCTCAATACAGGGGATGGCTTTTCCCCTCTCCACATAGTCTTCGGCAGCAAGACAGTGTGCTCCTTTTTCAAGAGTTCTGAGAAATGATCTATTTAACCAGGTATGAGGTAAGAATTTTTTCTCCTCAAGGTTCAAAGTTACAAAGTAGAATCAAGTGTTTTGAAAAATACATAGGGTCCTAAACTTCTGCACATTAAAATGCTAGTAACTTAGTTTGCATAGAGCTTTATAAAGGCCTTGAAAGTAGATTTATTAAATTGTGAGATAAAAAAAACTTATAAAAGATTTTTTTAAAACCATTAAAATATGGTTTAAAGTATAACGTTCAATTTACCTATGTTGCACATTAACTCCTGTAAAGTCTATTATGTTAAAAATTTGAGATACACACAATGGTTCACAAATAAATGGGTGCTACTTGGCATCAAAACATTTTAATTATTACTGTGTTTAATAAGCTTTAGTGTATCTGGAACTATTTCTTTTGTGTATGTTTTTTTCTAAATGGGTAGAAAGGTGCCCTATACACTGTATACAAGGAGGTGTCCAAAAGTTCATGGATAAGTGGAATGAAAAGACAATGGGGTTTTTCCTAGAACATTTTGAAGCACCCTCAACACTAAGATAGACATTTAACGGACCAGCATTGGATGAACACCCAACTTCTGACTTAGGTACAAATTGCATTTAAAGGCAGGCTTACTTACTTGTAACTAGAGGACTGCCTGGAATTTTAAAAAGTGATTAATCTCTTAAGTTTTCACAAACGACCTTTGTCAGTTCTGAAGTTTAAGTTAGTAATAGCTTCAAATTGATCTTTTAAAAAGGTTAAACATTAGGCTTTAATGGTGATTCCTGACTATTCTTTATCTGGGAGAAATGTTCGTTTGTTTGAGTATGGTACCCCGGACTAAAGGGACATCTTCCTTGTCTTGTTCGGTGACACAGTGAAGCGGATAGACAGCAGTTGCCCAGCTCCACATACATGGCGGAGCAGTTGTGCTCTTGTACTTTCACTGGACTGAATCAAACTTTCACAGGCCATGGCGTACACAGCCTGTTCCACACATGAGCGCCATGCTAGGGTCTGTTTTCTGCGTCCTTGTGCAGGGGCCAGTGCCATTTTCCCTCTTCTCTAAAGATATAAATTGTCTCACTGTGCACACACAGTGGATGGATCCACAGTGGGGACTATATGGAATTATACATAAATGTTGGAGAGATATATATATACACACATGTATACATATATATACATACACACACACATATATGAAAGACAGGGCTATGGAATCATACATAAATGTTGGATATATGTATATATACATATATATACACACACACATATATACATACATATATATATATGAAAGATGGGGCTATGGAATTATACATAAATGTTGGAGATATATGTATACATATACACACACACACACACA